GATTTTCGAGCGGATTTCAAAACTAACCTAGATAGTTTACGGGGTCGGTAAGCTATACTTTTTCAAAATAAAATTTCGAAAATTAGTTTAAACTAGTATAAGGATGAAAGATAGTTTTACAAATGCTGTTTATGTTACTTCGATTTTAAAGGGGAGGAGCGTCTTGCGACCTTCCAAACTGGGCTTGACTGAAGAGTGCAATCTCGAGAAAATTAGGTGTTGTTGACACTTGTTGCAATGTTACTGTCCCGTATTCATACATAGTTTACTCATTTTGCGATGGGCTTCTGAGTGAATTTTAACATTACAATAGAAAGTGTTGTGTTGCGTGTACTGTATGTCTATACCTATTTGAACTATAGTCTATTCCTATAATTTCAAAATCACCGTTTACACTGTGAACATCCCAAGTACCTCACGTTATCAGTTTCACTTTTTAATAACATATTGTAGAATACAAATTAAGTAATAACGTCAGAATTCACAAAATCTAAGAACACGTATAAATACAAACAGCCAAAGTATTGTCGAATGCATACTCTTATTACTGTAATACCGATAAAAAAATAGGCCTTCCTTGCACCGGCAGATAATATCCGCATTAATTGCCGTAAAATAAAGATTCAAAAATACCCGAATCAAAGGAAGTTTTCTCTATACACATTGCATTACGTGTTAAATTGCTCATCCGTTCGTGCAACGCCGGTTTCATAACTAAACCCATTTCATGTTTTTCTAAAAAAATATATAATAATTATTATTTATTAGGTACAAACCGGCATAATAATATTCCTAATAATATACGAATCAAGTGCTACGAGCCCATGACGCTATAATAATCGCTATTTATACCTATTATTATTATTTTTTTTTAAAACAATTTATCTTCAATTTTATTTCTTTAAAACTCGTTAGGATCGGCTTGTTTTTCTTTCATTTTTTATGTTCTATTCTATATGTTGTAAAGGTATGGTTATTTTATTGACTGCATTACTGTAAAAAAATTATTTCAGAAGCTATATAAAGACGATTGTATGAATTTTTTTACAGCATTTAATACCTATACACCGAAAATAAATACACACCTATATTTTTTAATACCATCAGTTTTGTTTTTATTTTGTTTAAATTTGGAATTGTTGTTTTAATTGAATAGGTACCGACTCTAGTATACAACTCTATATGTAGATAGTGATGAGTGAATACGCATATAATAGAAGCAGGATGGTTCAGGAAATGAAAAAAATACTGTTTAAAACATTGATGATAAACCATGAACTTGTAAAATATTGTTGGTAGTTGGTACAATATATTTATTTTACTTCCCCTTAATAAGTATAATACTACACATACGAATTAACTAAATTACTATAGTAAATGAGAAAGGAATTGTTGAAACAGTTGGTAACTTACCGAAATAGGCTTTAGTCTGTTAGATTTAGTAAGACCTATAATACATTATTATCATACACGATGCAGTATGAAGATTGTAAATTATTTTTTTTTTTTACGTATTACAATTAAGATGATGTTCGATTATGATAAAAAATACTTCTTTTATTTTTATTATTTGGTATTTTTTGTAACCCTAGCTGGTTCTCATTCATATATCGAATATATTTTAGTTATTTTATTATATTTTATACAAGTTTAAACAATTAATGAGACGTTTTTACAGTAAGTACCAATACGTCTATGTACCTACGAGTAATATAAATGGTATTCTATATTGGACATTGGCACATAGTGCGTTAAGTATTTAATAGTTTTTTACCTCAGCAATAAATGAATAACTATGTATATTTTTAATATTATTTTTCATAAATAATGTTTTCCGACTTAAAACTAATACATACGAGTATAAGACATAACTATTTTACATTTTTATTTTTATATTTATTTTATGGGATTTTTGGTGTTAAACTGCAAGTATAAAAATATTTAAAAATGAAGCAAAACTTGTTTTTGTGGCATATAAAATATTTTTCCCTAAAAAGGAATGAAGAAACGTTTAATAGTTTTAAGTATTAAATAGGTACTAATTCAATATTATTATGGTAAGTTATATTTTGAATATCTTAATTGACATGAAAGAACAGCTTTTTCGTTCACCCAAATTAGCCAGTGATAATTCCTTGCACATTTACTGCAGTTGTCTAATAATAAAAATAAATTAATAAATTATTTTTACTATTCTTACATTTTTATATAGCTTCTAAAGAAAACAAAATAATCATTTTCTTTCTAACTCAACTCGTAAATACTTCCAGTTAATTTTTGAAAATATAGTTGTACTTTATAGTTGTTACACTACCTCTGCGGAATGAGATCAACCCGACTGATCAATACGGAGAAAAATTATTATTGCGTTCTAAATGACAAAATTGTTACTTTTAATTTTCTCCCATTAGTTTGTTTGTATTACTAAACTTATGTATGAACAATTCCAGTGGGGTTTATTATCTTCTTGAAGAATTAATACAAATTTTATAATTGTGAGCTGCTTTTTTCATGCAAACCAAAGTTTTTATTTTAAAATTCAAGATTTTAAAAAATAAATATGGAGAAAAACACTGAGCAATTAGAAATTGGTTAAAATATTTTAATGGCTATAGCTTTTCCATCACGGTGATTGGACATGGATTTATTAATTGTATGACGTCATCGCTCCAACGCCAAACACACATCTCATTTTTCCAACTACCTAATTACCTACAAACATTTAATATAGTCCACTTATAGTTATATCACTACGAAAACGTATTAAATGTGGTTAAATTAGACACACAATTTAAAAAAAAGAAATACTAGCATACCGCGGTATTTGAACTTTTATCAATCGTCAATACTAATTCGGTCAGATTGATTTTTTTTTACCAAAAAACATTCATAGACGCAACCCATGAAAAAATGTCTTACGGAAGCCTACGAATTAAGACTATTATTATTTTTTTTTGCTCCTTCTTTATGCCTTATACTTATTCCTACGATGTCCCATTGCTGCCGTCGATTGGAGGAAGTCTGTATACTATGAAAACGATGTCCCTAATTAAAAAGATGCAGATGTGTGCAAAAACCTACACTAAAAATAAATCGAGACAAATCTACACAAAACCGTATTTGGGTCGGGGGAGTGCGCACTTTTTAGTTTTTTGTGTGTGTGGCCACCCCCCGTCACCGCAACCGGTTATTGGATGAACTGATGTTGTTATTGCTATACGGGGCCTATATATATATATATATAAGAAAACAATAAATAAATAAAAATAAAAATTGAAAACAAAAAAAAATAATACGTTCAGGTTTATTTTTGGTGAGACTGCTGTCAAAAAATAAAAATATAAAAAGCCAAAATAAAAAGTATCGGTCTTAAAATATCGTTTAACGACCGGCGGCGGTGGACGAGAAAAAACACGGAGCCACCATTTATATTAATCTGCCATGTAGTTTTTTTTTAAATAATATAATCATATTTTACGACTTATTAAAAAAATCACGGACACCAAAACGACACCCGACGACACGACGGAATAATTGGTAATTTTTTTGTTTTGCTCCTATATGTATATCTAAGTTTTTCTTCTCTTTTACTCTTATTATTTCCCCACCTACTCAACAGAATTCTTTGTCGGTCGTAAAAAACCGCCTTTATAGCCGCCTTTCACCATGTGTCGTACACGCCGGTGGTGGCAGCGACGGCACAGGTCTTAGTGTAGTTAAACTTTTATTAGGTAGACACTCCCGAAATTTTTATTTCTGGCCACCTTGGACTGGACTCCCCTCTCTTCTGCCAAACACACAATATACCACCAACATTTAATTCTATCGTTTTCTTTCTTATGGTTTAAAGAGGGTTTTTTCTTGTTTTCTGTTGTTTCATTATTATTAATGTGCACGCGAACGATATTCAATAAGGAATAACAAGTGCGAATTATTATCACTCTTATTGTTATTTGAGTATTTTACAAACATACTAATAAATATATTGCAGCGGACAATGCTCTAATAGAACTGTTGAGTCTAATAAAATGTCTAACTATAGTCATTTGAAGTTTTTGTCGGTAATGTGTAATTACTAATTAATGAATACAAATTATCAAGAATATATAATGACATTGAATAAATTAACGCATTAGTTATTTTTATTGGGAAAAAAACGAGTAACCAAAAAATACCTAACTAGTTTACTGCAAATTATGTTACTCATGTACAGTTGTACCTACATAACATTTATTTTTAATAATTACCCATGTAAGTACCCATGCCATTCGATTGTCATTACAATTATGTGCAATTAAAAATCGAAAACATAAAATATATGTTTTTTTAATAAATAAGCGACAGTTGATTATTGCCCAAGAATATATTATACAACTATTATAATTTTACAAGATACAGTATGCAACCCTGCATGTTAAATAGAGAAAGGATGCACATTGCAAACTATAAGATTTACTTTCATGCTAAAATAAAATAAATCTTTTGTTGAGATAAAAAAGATACTCTTTTTTTTTTTTATTAAATAAAAGTGTATTTACAATCTATACATACAGTGTATAATAAGTAAGTGTGGTGACTTAAAGAATATAACAATTAACAATAATAACAATTAAAAGAGAAGGAAGGCTCCCAGCAGTGCCACCTGACAAGAAATAAAAGATACATAAGAAAGAATAATACAACTTATAAGCATTTTTATTTTCAGATATCTGCAACTAGAAAAATGAAAATTTTTTGAACTTAAATTAATATTTGGATTGAAAGGGATTAAAGTGTTGAAATCTGAAAACTAAAATTAACCCAATGATATTAAGATAATTCATTTTATGATTTACTTACAATTAACTATCTATACAAGTATAATAGTAATTTGTAATTGAATAATTATTTATAGTCGAAGAAATAGAGCAATTTAAACTTCTACACTTCACTGGATAAAGACTCCTGGCCCAGTATAAAATAAATATAAACAAACGCATATTAATCATGTGATAACCTAATATAATATCCATATATTTCATACATTTATTTTTTTTTATTTCATACAATATTTCAGTCAACAGACATGTCCAACGGACAACAAAAACAACTGAAAAGTATTTTGTTTTAAGAATTGGAGCCAGTGCTGTGACTTGGTCCAGATGACAACCACCCGGCATACTTGTTGATGTCCATGTATAAGTAACATTTCATTTTAAACTGGCGCTCGAAATGTTTCTTATTGAATGTGTGCCTGCCTACCACGTACACATGCCTGTCCATCTCCAACTGATATTTTATCTACAACACATACACGTCACATGACATATTATAGTCGGTCAATAAATAACTTTGTTGCGTCGTCATATTTTATTAAACAATAATAGCATGCGTATAGGTAGTTTAATTAAATAAATATGTTATCAACTTACGTACACCGCCGGAAGTGACATTAAATGCGTTACATTTACTGTGAAAAACGCACTTACCGTTACTTGAGGAATCGGATACTCATTGCTAGACACCGAAAACTCTGCCTGCAACGTTTAAATATGTCAGCATAGGAACTCTTTTAAAGTCAAAAGCGATGTACAATTTAAATGTTCTTATTATTGTTTTTGTTTAATAAATTGAATTTGAAAAAAAAATATTACCACCGTCAACATTGGTACTATTTATAGTATGAGAAGAGGGGGTAAATTTTCGAGATTTAGATTAAAATATGCAATGGGAAAAAATTTTTTTTTAATTTTTAGCTACTTTTTATACTTAGGGTTTAGGCAATACAAATTATTCATATTAATAGATACCTTAAAATAAATATTATAGACCATTCGCAGCTTCAAGCTTATACTTAATTTTGGATTAAGATGATTAAGTTCTGTTTCAATTGGTATTTATTTTATTTTATTATCAATTGCTCTCAAAACTTGCAAATAAAAATCAGCCATGCATAATGTCTTTAACGGTTTGAAATAGTGCATTTAGCTTACCTTGTAGCCGTGACTTGAAATATCAGGCATTTTTAGTAATGACTTCTCAACCGTGTATAAGTATTTGTCTTCTAAGTTCCAATACTGTTTTATGTAGGCGTAAATATTTGCTATGGCTACTTGGTCGTCGAAAATTCCATTTTCGTTGAGCCAGTTAGCGTTCAGGAATAATGAATGATAATTGGAATCTAACTTAGCCCTTTTTTTGCATGCTCGTATGGCATTCATATTTATCACTTTATTTTCATTTTCATCGCCAGAGTTTGAAAGTCCTAATCTAAAAGTATAACAAAAGGTGACTTAAGAGTAATTCATTGTAATTTGTAATAGGTATTTTAAAATTAATTTAATTTATACAGTTTCAGTTTTTCTTTGTATAAGTTATAAGTTATTACAGATAAGTGATAACGTTCTGTAACTATTTAAATAAATATAGATGTATATAGTGATCAGTTTCTAATTTACTTATTCGTTTGTAAGTAGTACCGCACAGCCCGTTCGGAAACTGCAATCACTTCATTCACGAAATCTTCGGTCGTTTGTATTACTGAATTTGAAAAGTGTTCATTCATTCCAGTGGGTCCTTTGTATAAATGACCACCATATTGGTGGAGGTTTTCGAGTATTGGTATGCACTTATTCGGAGGAATTTCATTTTTCCACAAAATAACCGTATTACTAGAATCTTTATCTTGGAGGGTTTTAACTGAATCCATAATTTTACTGAATGTAAAGTTAAATTCTTAAAAAATACAATAACAATTCTTAATTGCTATAAAAAAAAATAATATAATAGTATTAAAAAATATCAATTTATGAACTTTGTGCAATAATTTTAATAAAGAAGTACACGAAACACGTATTGTTTTATAAACTATTTCGTAGGTTTTATACCAATAACGTGCAAATTTATTTGTTTGAGGTGGTTTGAAGCGTTGTAAGTGAAAATGCACTTATTTTTCATAAAACACCTTTGGTTGGCTAAAAATTGAATTAAATCATTAAATGCGTTAAAATCTGATATTGAAATATTTTTTTGTGTTTTTCGACGCAATGAATTAAATATTCGTGCAAGCTTCAATATTTAAATTTAAGAATCAGTATTTACTTACTTATTACTGTTATACGCAAAAAGATGAATGGGCAAAAATAACCATTTGTGTAGTGTCTACCTATACAAGAAATACTTCGATGTATTAAAAAAATTATAAGCAAACAAAATAATTAGGTATATAAAATTGTAAAATAAGTTTTTTGTTAACTTTAAGTCTTTATTGTAATATATCACATATATGAATTTTTCGTTTTAAAATGTTGTTATTTTATTATAACTTAAAATAATATATACCAGATACCTCTAGATCGAATTATTTGAAGTTTGTATTTGGAGCAAATTTAAATCGTAATATTGTATGTAGCATAGGTAAATCGGTAGGTAGTTTAATTTCAGACATTTCAGTATACCACTACAGGCGCAATGCGTAACTAAAGAATAGTACAACAAGTCCGATGCCTATTATTTATTTATAATTACCTTTATAGTACACTGAGGATAATGAATAAAATATAATAATTGATTTGAATTTATTATTTACCATGGGCGTCTATAATAGCTGCAGAAGAAAATTTTGATTGTATTTGACAACAACACAAAAATACGTAATTCGATTTTGATCCTAGATCCATGGAGAAGTTTGAACACCGTTTCAGTTGAGCAGTCGTACCAAATGTAAATAAATAAATTGTTATAACTTATGAGTATATCACTATAATTGATTGTACAATTAATGTAGATGCAATACGATGGCGTAAAATATTAAAGACACCCACCTTCCTAACATGTAATTTAATTATTTTTGAACTCATTACCAAACAAAAATACTTATGTAGAGTTAATAATAGTTAACTTGTATACCTGATAAAATTGTATTATTAATTATCATAATACCTTGTAGAATACATCATTAGTCTATTGCCAATAGGAATAGGCTCTTATCGCTCCTCATATCCATCTATTAATTTTTTATCTTCGCATATCCATCGATCAATAAATAATAGTTCTTGTTAGATTGGCCAAGTAAGCCATACTAATCACACTATAATCTTTTTTTTGTTTATGGTCTTTACGACAATCATAACTGTCAGAAATTCTATTTTCGTTTACCTCATCTTAGCTTAACCTTTTTCTGTTTTTGAATTGTTTGTTGTAAATGTATAACATTGATTTTGATGAAATTTTGCCTAGTCGAGTTTGGAGTTGACCTATTTGATAATAACGATATAATTGATAATAATATCTAACAGATCATTTTGGAGACTACTAGACTTCTTACATTAAGAGCTAAGACAATGATTTCTATACCTACTTAAATGCTCGTCTACGTAACTACTCCCTACTAGCTGATCTCATTTATATACCAAAATACCTATGCGTTTGACTTTTTTTGGGCACTATCAAAAATAATAATACAATACTCCTTAGGTCATCACTAGAGTGCACACCCGATGTAGGTATGGCGTATGAATAACATCAGTTGTAATATAAGTTAATATTATACCCGTAATGGTTATAGCTTTATGTATAGCCATATACCTATCATACCTGTCGCTGTTAAAAACCAGACATTTAAAATCGAACTGTGATACACACACACACTTGGCAGTCAACGTTGAGACTTTTATTTTGAATGGTTTTTTTTTTTATTTGTTGACGTTTGATATTTCTATAGGACATGACATATAATAATATTATATTTTAATATACATATTTTGTTACCATAACGATGACGTGTCGAATCTCGAAGGATAGTGATGTTCTTGCAGTTTTGTTGGTGTCCTACACAATACGAAATCGCTAACGACTATTTAAAATCATGACTTAAAGATTTTGAATTATATTTATTTTGATGATTATGATTTTTAAAGTTTGGAGCACATGCATTTAATTAGCGAAATATCGGGAACAGGAAATTAAAACATAATTCTAGGCAGCACTTAAATATTTAAAAGTGCTGTTTACCTCCTACGGCGATTGGTATTTTACTACCGGTCGTAAAATATATCTTTGATGATATTTTAGAAAAAGACGGAACAATAAACATGTAGTAGCTAGGACCCCCTAGCTCCTTGCTGCTCTCCAATTTAGGAAACAAAACGAAATATAATAGGCCTATACCTAGCTATTGTTAATTATTATACCAATTAAATATGTGAATTATGTTTTCGTGAACCACATATAATGATAAAATAATGTAGGAAACAACAGTTATAGGTATAACAATATGTGTAAATGGGTTGTAAATGTACAGTAAATACGTTACATGAATTACAATAATTATGATTTTAAAAGCTGTAAGATATCGTGGAAAATTGAATTATATGGTTTCGGAGGAAAAGGAAAAAGTATATACGTCTTTTACACGACGGAAACCGGCTATGCCCCAACTTACAATCACATAAATTGATATAGAATCATGACACCTTGGACATTTTCTAACACAATAACAAATATTATTATGTAATTTGACAAATATATTTAACTATATTTTCACCGTCATTGAGTAACTATTATTTTCTATAAAGTCTAGCTTAAATCAATAAACCAATTTATGATTTTAATTTTGAGTCGCTAAATTTCAACGCCATAGAACCAAAGGGATCATTTTAACATATCTATACATATACTAGCTGATCCCATGCACTTCGTTGCTCGTTAAAAATGCCAACTCTATGCAACTCGATTGTGATAATGCGAGCAGTATATTATCAGGAAGGCAATCCACCTCAGGTGGATTGCAGACTCCGATAGGTGCATACATTATAATATGTTTTATTTTTATTTTGATTGTGGACACACCGATGAGCGGCTATATAAGTGCAACTCAGCCACCTAGGTAGGCAATTTGCATACATTTGATTTGATGCATGCTTATATACCCGATCTACCCAATGACCAATGGCAACCAAAAAAAATTTAAAAAATACTAATTTATATTAAAAATTAAGAATAGATTGTCGAATTTGCCGTTCTTGAGTAATAAATAGTGTAACTATAACACGACTTTCATTAAAATATATATTGATAGATATAAAATATAGTGTCCAGATGCTGACACTGACAGACTGATTGACTGATCGAGCCTAAATTAAACTAGTAAACTGTTGCTGGCTATATGATGCCACGAATTTATAAACCAATTACAACGAATAGATAAAATAGGTAACATACACACGATTAATAGTATGACATTGATTATAAACACTAGTATTCATAATCAATGATAGTAGTAACCTTGTGCAGTACCTATATAAGCTGTAATACAGCTGGAAGGTTTCGACGACCAACAATTAAGTTGCCACGTGCGGATGCCACGAGCGGGCTATCAATTAAAAAAGCCATGCGCAGTCATAATTCACATTCGACCAAAATACACTTGTGAAACACACGACAACAGATCAGGATTCACTCATAAGGGAGCACGCAGTGCAGCAGGATCAAATGTGCTACAGCCGTTGAGTCCTGAGCACCTTCACTTCACTCACGCCGACACGACTTGTACACTTTTATAGGTTTTGCTTAAATAAACCATTATTTTAATATTTACTGTTGAAAATCGTCTGTTCATTGGAAATGCACTGAATATCTGCAGAGGATCTCTGGCAATCTACATACAACAAAACTATGATAGGTAGCTAAAGACTTAAAATCGTCATGGTACCTTTGTACAGTGAATCGTGATGCATAGGAGTTCACTAAGACAGAATTTTCCAAAATTCACATTGTCAAGAGGGACTCACACAAATATTTCTAGGTTCACGATGGAAATAAAAAAAAACAATCAAATCGATCATCATTTATAAATAATAATATAATTACTTTACCGTCGTAATGATCTCCTTAATACATTTTTTTTTAAAAACATATAATATATGATTCCGTACAAAAATCTCAAGTAGTACACTACATTTTTTCATACTTTAGAGTCTTCTGTAGCGATAGGTACTAACTCATTTTTACATTTACCAGAGTTTCTCTGAACAGTAAAACAGACTACGAATTGGTCGACACACTTTTTTTGGTTTTTATTTGATACTTACCTATGTAAGGTAACTACTACCTACCTACCTACCTATATCGAGATCAGTCGTCTGGATTGCGGCCGTACATAGGCTGAGGCTTATAGGACGATAATTTTAATGACAAAAATAATTTTCAAGACGCGTCATAACGTTTGGTTTTTTCTTAAAAAACACAAAAATGGTCTCCGGAAACGAGTGCGCAACCACATCAAAAGTGGACGACTCCGTGTTCCGAAACGAAGCGATCGTGAATAATAATAATAATAATAATAATAATAATAATAATAATAAATAACGATCACCGATATAGTGACCCAGTGCAGTGACGACCGGCGTGCATGTTTATAAATAAATAATATGCCGCTCGTGAAACCGGTCCGGACCGAGCTAAACACGCGCTCGAGTGTATCGGTAACGACCACAAGTGCCGGTACTTAGACGTACCTACCTATATGCAACGCGTAGTGTACGCACAATTAAAGAGCGAGAGCGAGTGAGTGGGCGAGATAGCGATCCGTGAGCGATCGCGTATTATAGTCGGCCGTCGCGTCTCCGCGGCGGATCGTCGGCGACGGGCGCGTTACGTGACGGATCGGCGTGGGAACAAGCGGACCCGACGGTCGCCGCGCCGCGGACGTGCCGGTCACGCGCGCCCCTCCGGCCGACACCCGCGCGAGAAGTTACGCGGAGAGGCCGCCGCTTAAGAGTAAAAAAATGATGCGGTACGTGCGCGGCACACGCACACGCACACATGGATATCATATTATTATTATTATTATTATTATTATTATTATATTATATTATATTCTTTTCGCCGCCGCCGCCGCCTTGACGGATTCAATAAACGCGAGCGCGCAATCTATCTAGGCGGCGGCTCACGCGCGTGCTCTTCTCTCCGCTCGCGCGCGCACGTCTGTTTCTAACGTCTCGCGTATGCCTATATATTGTTATTATTATAATGTCGATTACGCTCTGCCGTCGTCTCCGTCGTACGCTTTGTATTATTACTATTATTGTCGTCGTCGTCGGTGTCGTTTTTTTTTTCTCATCGAAGCAGTTCCCACGGTGTAAACGACCTTTACGGATTTACATTATGTACGCGTCCGCCGTCGACGCTTTTTTACCATTTTAGTTTTTCGACGTTTTTTTCCTCTGTCTACCGCACATACCTGTGGATTCACAGCGGCTACTGTTTCATCCGCCTTATAATAATGCGTTCATTCAAATTATTCTGATTCATTTCTCCCGATTCCCGTATCTATTTACTACAAGACCATATTATTCAATTATCGAACACTTAGACTTTTACGGGATTTGAGGAGTGTATAGTGTGTGTCCATATACAAACTCGAATTGGTGCAGAACATGAGAACTTCGCTTTTTTACCTACTTTTAATACACTTAATTCTAAATCACCACGCAGATGAATATTTTTTAAATATATTTTTTAATCAAAATTCACTATGAGAGATTGATGATTATTCATTGATTCACTATGTTTTTTTTTTTTTAATTATGATGATCATTATCTAATCAATATTCACTATTCACGTAGTGGGACAGTTATAGCTTAAGTAAAAATTGTCATAGTTATGAGTATGTATACTAAGTAGTAGGTACTATATATTAGTAGGTATACCTACTATATTATTATCATAATTACATAAAGTTTAATAACTCATAAGTAACCCGTTAAAGTTTAAATTTGGATGGATTGGTCTGATTAATAATCTAGGTACATTAAAAAGGGAGGTAGTAGATTTAATAAGAAACATTTTTTTTTTAATCTAAAACGTTTGTAAGTTTCTATCTTTGGATATGTCTTCAAAAATCTATGATTTGGGAATTTTAATCAATGGGCAATTGCTCAAGGATAAAACGGTTGTGAGCGTGCTTTGACAAAAACATATATCTACACAAATCATGATTTCATAGGTACGTCTATTCAGTATACAACAGAAATCGTAGCACATAACTACATAAGTATACCTCTAACGATTAACGAATAGGACATTGGTATATTATAACACACTCATTCTTAATATGTAAACACTATAATGGCGGCAAAAATACCTATCATAAAGTCGTGACGAAAATGATCGGTCGCTTACAAAACACGAAACTTGTAGTTACCTACCTTACAAATTGTACGTTTTTTCCGGATCCTTATTCGAGTAGACTTAGTCGAGGTGGCTATAAGCCTAATCCAAAGGTCCAATACAAGTCTGTTATTTACTGTACATATCTGACTTCATCAAACTACAGTTTTATATTACCAGCATTTCTACAATAATTATTATTAGAGCTAGGATTTTGGTGACTTTTACATTTTTTTTCTCAAGTGTTATACAATGCTAACCAAACACTAAATTTGTTTCAGTAACAATTTAAAATATGTAATTTTTATTTTGCATTTTTTGCATTTTTTGTGTTAAATTCATTTTATTGCATTTTAAAGGTCATTTTTACGAATATTACGTTCATTTTGTGTATTTAAACTAATTTTTGTTTATTTTAAGCTTTTTTTAATATGTGTGGTAAACTGTAAAGGTAATCCCAGTTAGTACCTATAGGCAATTACCTGCTCCAGTCCATTGATATTGGAAAAGTAACATAATTAATTGTCGATTTATCCGATAAGATTAAATATCGAACTAACCCATAACTATTTAGATATACAATAGTAGCTTTAGTAGTGAATTCGACACGTACATATGTGGTTCTACCGATCTTAACTGTACAAATGCCAAAAATTAAGTCAACAGTAGGAAGCCGTTTATATAGTTTTGTGAGCGAATTTAGTGCCGATTTTTTTTCTACGGACGGTATGGTGCTTTAAATGATAGAGTTCATTTCAAATATGCCCCTGTTACTTCTGTGGACGTTGAACCTTGAACGAAGTTTTTCTTCATATCAAAACATTTTATCTGACCGCCGTTGCCGCTTCCTGTTTGAAAATCTTAAGAATCAGCTAATTATGCAATACAATAATATGGCGTACAGGTGAAAAAAAATGATATATTTTTCATTAAGTTATTTTAATTTATGCTTCTATTGATTTTTCAGAATAATTATATAAGGAAGCGGTTACATTCACAAGTCCATTTTGTTCATAATTAATAATAATATTTATTTTTAAAATAAATTTTATTCGCTCATCTAAGTACAGTTTTTGGTCATTTTTTAAGTTCATTTTTTAGGGTTGTTAGGTCATTTTTGCATATTTTTTTTAGTGAATTGTTGTGTATTTTTTAGGTCATTAAAATCCTAGCTCTAATTATTATACTATGTTTTTTTCACGACGCATGGAGAAGAAGGGAAATCCCACACGGCTCGGAGAGTGTCCAATTATTGTTTTTAATACGCAAACTTTCGATTACGCGGCGCAATGGATAGGCAACTCTAGATGTTACTTTACATTTACAGACCTAAAGTATTCATTCGGTTTGGCTTGAGAACGATCATAGATTTCCTATGAGGTACAATTCAAGGCCGTACCTGGGGGGGGGGGTTCAAATTGTAAGAAAAAAGTAAAGCGTATCTGGTACTTGTTATCTTATAATTAGGAATTTAATATTCAAATTAATTGTTGACATGTAATTCACTAATTCATTTATCGAGAAATTTGTTTAAGAGAACGCCACACGCCCGGCCATTAAGGTGGTTGATATATGCATCTTGATGATATTTTGAGAAGAATTTTTAAGTATTTAAATACTTATCTAAAGTCATTTAAAAGTGGTCGTATGACAGTGTACCAAGTCTGTAACAATGTCCGATTTCCAAAAGAAGAAGTACTTTAAACATTAAAAAAAATATGTTAACCTAACCGATGAAGCGACAGATCTCATAAAGTATTTTGAATCCATTAATATAAACAGTAGTTCCAAAATATTAGGTAAAAACGAAAGAATTAAAATTAAAAATATCACGGGTCCTTTCCCTTATTCTTATGTAGTTCTATTTGGATATTGGAATATTCGATTAACATTTTAACAACCTTAAATGATAATGAATGGGTAAACAATCAAATTGAAGGAAGGGACCATTGGTTTTCTAAACTTGTTAATCAAACACATCTATCATCCTTATGAAACTTGTGTCTACCAGTCGCGGTTGATAAAACTAATTTGTTACAATAAGATAGGTATCCACAAAAATAAAAATGATTAAAATATTCATAATAAATTTAAAATATGAACTACTGAATATCAGAATGGAGATAGAACCATAAAAAATAAAAATATTATTTTATATAAGTGTATTCAATCTTCACATTTGTTTAAATGTACTATGATATTTATAATTATACAGGCCAATGGCATCATTTTGTTCTCAGAAATACACTTTACGGGAATTATGATCCTGTCCTGAAGAATCAACCGAATTTGATAAATTTTTTTCATTAACTAATAAATGGTTATATTCTCCTGGGAGTGCGTTGAACTCCTTTCAATATTTTAATCTCATTTCAAACTTATACGTATAAATACGATAGCTAAAACTTAGCTCTAAGATTTTTTTCTCAAATTATTTGCAATAAAATAAAAAATCGGAGTTCAATGCATCCTGCCTTTTTTCAGATAACAAAATTGTTTTCAAAATCCAAAATTCTACAAGGCGTGAGAATTTTCCTGTGAAGAAATTTTTGTTGAAATAATAGGTACACTGTTCTACTCTTGTAGGTCTGCTCACACATGCATTTTTTTCAGCTCACGAAAAATAATATTTTTTTTAAATGGTTGCCATTGGTTGCACATAATATTACTATTATAAATAGTATAAATAATATGGCATAAACATTTTTTTATAAATATATCTATAGAAAAAAAAAACAAATCGGTTGCAAATGCTAGGCGAGGTACCTATATATACTATAGTCATATACTCATATTATTTATAAGAGTTAAGTGTGTATCAGGTGTATCTATTTATCATAATCTATAATACATAGGATTTAATAATTAATTATATTTTATTATAAATGCTTCAACTTTCAATTTAAAAATTGGTTTCAGGGGGCAAATTGTAACTAGTGGTTACTTTGTGCGGTCAAAAGTAACTTGTAATTTAAAAATGTATTTTTGACCCAAAACTTTTAAATTTAATAGGTACGGGGCTCAGCTTAAAATACTATTAAAGTAATGATATTTCAATAGTAAATGATCAAAAATACAAGCTGTCTCTTTTGTATGAACATTTGAATTTAAAATTTTGATGAAATTGGATATTTAATAAGTAAAGATTTATAATTAATTTTGTGTATCATGAAATGAAATTCACAAAAAATGTTGACTAATTTATCCCATAAATCTTTTATACTGTTATATGGTATGTAGGTAATAACTAAAAAGTTAAAAGTTTATCAGCAATAATATATAAATATGTGACAAAATATCATAATACATTACGCAATATTTTTGGTAAAATATAAATAAACCCACAATATTTCTAGTAGAAAAATAGATTATTAGCTGCATCGATTATACATACCATTAGTATGTATATTGTATGACATAATCAATAATAATATAAATTAATTATAAAATGCCTTTAAAAATAAAGGCTGAGGACCTAAGAATCATTTTTACAATTATTATTATGCACACACAATGATTTATCATTAAAATAATATTCAATACAATCATCAAAGTATATGCACAATAATGAAGTAAACTTTAAAGCTAAGCTTATACATATGTAATGACTTCCACAATTTTTTTTTATGATTATGCATTATCTTTATTTAAAAAAATATATATATTTAGTTTTCAACAGAAAGATTTTGTTCTATTAAATTTTCATTTTTTTCTGCATCTGGACATTCAATTTCTTCTTTTGGTTTAGATTCTAGAGAGCAATTTTCATACTCCAAAAGGTCTTTTTCATCTATGACTGAGAACATTTTTCTTTTCGGCAATGTACCAATTAATGCTTCTTTCCAAGACATTCCAGTCACCACTTTTGAAATTATTTCAAAAACTGAAAAGGATTAACTTTTATTAGACACTTTCTAGGCACTATACTATTAGAATCTGAGTATTGAATGTGCTTTTTTTCAATTATGTGTACCTACTATTTATTTATTTATTTATAGATTTTTTTGTAGTTTCTGGTAGAGAATTTTGTCTAGTTGGTACATTTTTCTAAAGTTCTTCATAAGTACTTTAATTTTTTTTAATATGGTAAATACATGTCAGAATTTGTTCTAAATGTTTGTGGTTTAAATTTTGATAGCAATTTGTCGAAATCACGAAAATTTGCAGATTACTGTTGTAGTAAAAAATGTATTAGTTTTTCAATTTTAATACCTGAGGCTTAAATATTTGTCAAAAGTTGTTTTAAAAACAATTTAAAAACATTGAAAATAAATTGTTTTCGATAGCATTTGGTGTTTAAATTTTGACAGAATTAGATACTTATTTTTGAGGTCATTTAAACATAATATATTGCTATTTTATTAACACAATGACATTTAAAATTTTTTTTAGACTAACCTTTATCTATTTTTACTACGATCCTGAACAAACCATTTTAAGGTACACTTATAAGTCAATACTGACTTTTGACAAATATTAATAAATATATACATATAATATACATAATATGATATAAATATTATAGTAATTATAATATTATGACAATGTTTACGTAAAAAAATAGTTTAACATACCATATAAAATAGAAAAATAAATCACTAATAAACAATAGTATAATAAACCGATTGTGCTTAAAATTGTTTTATGTGTATTGATTTATTATTGAATTCAAATTTAATTACAATACAGTGGCAGTTTTTAGGTTTTTTAGAGGTATTCTCAAAATTTCGTATAAAGCAGATCAACTTTCAAAGATAATTGTTGAGCTAGATTTTTAAATAGAAGCTATAAAAAAAAACTTTCCAAGATTTTTCTATTGACTTTAATTTTGATATTTTTCTGGTGTATACAACACACTAGGGACAATACAGTGCTAGATTTTTTTTATAAAATATTATATGAAATTACCATGATTTATAGTTAAAATTTTTCTAGTTTGCATGTTGATATGTTCATCAATTGGCAATCGAGCATGAGCTATACCTAGATCATTTGCTACTTTCAGACTTGCGCCCTGGAAAAAATTATTTTAATTAATTTTTAAATTGGTACAAAGGTTGAAGAATTTTGGGCAACTATACTTTGCATGAATTGTGATCAACCAGACCACCAATAATGTACACTTTGTTTTCATCTATACTTTCTAAGACATTTGAACTGTCACTGGTCAAATAAACAATTTCTTCTTTCTGGAATTCTTTATCAAATGAATTTTCTAAATATTTTATCTGAAAGTAAATAAGTGAAATAAGTGAAAAGTATAAGATATTTTTGATTTTTAACATGTGAAAGATAATCCAGAAAAAATATCTAAATTTAAATTTAAAAAATAATGAAGTTCAATATTTTAATCATTGTTATTTTTGGTATTTTACATTAAATTAAACTGTATTATATTAATTGATAATTTTTTCATAATAGCACTTTGCCAAAGTTATTTAGTATTTCAATAATTTAATTTGCCATCTACAAAATTTTAACTTATAGACTTACTCAGTTTGATAACAGATTTCAATGCAAATAATTGAATAGGAGGTACTAAAATACCAAAAATTTAATTCAAACACAGTTATATACAATACAATCTGGCTATAAGTTAGGTTGATATTCAAATATTAAAATAATTATAATATACACCAAAGTTTTTGGTAAAATATTTTATATAAGACAGACAATTTATCAAATATTTATTATAAATAATATTAATTTATACAGGATTCTTAATGGAATCATATAAATATATTTGATTTTTATAATATAAAACCTTTTAAGTTATAGTAAAACATGTCAATTTAAAAAAATTATGAAATACTGTAATATTAGATATAACAATAGTATAAATTATTAGACAAATATTGTGAATTCTCTTTCAAACCAACACAACCTTAATTTATCGGAGGGTTGCAAATTATTATGTACTATACCTATATCTGTATTTTTATTTATTTTATTCATCATCATTTTATGTGGACATGTGAGATACTACCTAGTACACCTATTCACTGTACTATTATGAATTTATTCTAATATATGAATATAATATTATTTGATAAAATTGATTTATTTTTATAAGATTAATAGTGTTACATAACACAAATGCAGATTTTAAAGCATTTGAATAAGTCTTTAATTTTTGTTTATTTAACCTACATCCCAAGACTCAGAGCCATTATGTTTAGCCATAATTTCTTTGATTTTTCCATTATAACTGCACAAATATAATTGCATAGGATTATCCATTCTACGATTCATACCATAACACCTCAATATTTGATTTGAACACTTGCATAAATCCTAATAACATAAAATATTTAATTATTATTATATTTTTATTAACAGGGCTAGGATTTATAAACAAAATAAAAAATAAAATATACAACCTAACCTTATCAGACATCAAGTCATCGTACGACATATCAAGCACAATACGTTGTTTACATGCACTCTCAGCCATTTTGGTTGTCTTTACTTTTGGTATTTCTACTCCAGATTCCCTCATTTGGGCTTTCAATTTTTTCCTTTCTATTTTTTTTTCTTTATTTGTTACCCTGAGAATAAATATAAGTATGGATTAGGTTACACAACATTGAGCTGCAGAAATTTAAAATTTAACTTTACCTTCGTTGCGCTTTTTTCTCCATCCACATCTGTTGCTTTTGGATCTTTTTTAGCTGCCTTTTTGACAGGTTGTTAGATTGGTCAGTATCAATTTTTTCGTCTAGTTTACATATTTTAGGTTTGCTTTCACAGACATCTTCCAATCCATCCAATGGCCGTTTTACAATTTCTTCCACAGCGACATCGTTTGTGTTGTAATTCGGTTTTATATCTACGGTTTCCGGTGATTCGTTCATAATTTTGAATAGGATTTACAAAATTGAATGAAATCATAAACGTTGAAATGTTGTAGTTAATATTTTAGTACAATATTATGCAACATAAGTTGTTCTAATGTTCTGTACCCTAAAGAAGTGTAGTAAGATATATTATAATATGGTACTAACACTCAATAGTTAATTGTGCAGTACTATATTCAATAATATATAGAAAAGTATTTAAGGTAGTTCAATAGAAGCTTCTAAATAATTAAAGCAAATACTACAGAAAAAATTAATTCATTTAAAGTATTTGCTTGAAGTAATGAAGTGTGTAGTAGTCGTACTAGTCGTAGTGTGTACTACACGTTGCGCGTTATCACTTATCATATTACTATTTGTCAGTTATCTATGGTCACTATCACTGATAGGCTAATATAGATAATGTAGATACACATATATGATATCAAATCTATGGATTAACAAGTCTTAAAAAAATTTGAAATTTGTGAGAGATGTGGCACATTTGTTCCAAAAAATCATTGAAAAATCAAAAAATAGCACTTTCTAATTTCATGAATTAACGTGTTGTAACATGACGAACACTTCCATAGCAATCTGCTGGGTTTTATGCCAAACCATACAAATAAACAAACGCTATAAGTCCCGATCCCTGCTTAATGCTTATAACGTTATGTAGGCGAGATCGAATGGGCGGGAGCAAAAACTGTCGACAATTTATTGTACTGTAAGCCTACAGTTTGCGTGGCCACGAGAATTTTTTTTTTTCAATTTGCCTTCGTAATTTTTTTAATTTCTAACGATTAAGTTATATTGCCGGAATGATTACTATAATAAGTAGGTACCTACTGGCTACTAAATATTACGATACTGATACAAAAATTACATAATACGTAGGTATAATATGTTTGAATGCATATAGTGAGTATTTATTGTTAACCGTTTCGTATGTTGTATGCTACTGTTTTTTAATTTGTATTATGCCGTACTTATCAAAATAATATATTATTATGGGTGAGGGCGCGAGGCTTAGATCATATACTATGATAGTCGGTATTATAATATGCTTTTTTTGTTTGTAATTTTTTTTTTACAAAATACATTTATTTATAAATACGGGCTTGGGGGGGGGGCTAGCCCCTGGAGCCGCCACTGCCCTTTGATGCTTCGCCACAATGCCGACAATTTGTTACACGCATATGACACACGAACACTGTTACGTGTTACAAGTTCGCCGTTTTGTTACGCTAGTGTGTACGCGCTTTAAGGAGCCAGGTGTCCGCTGTGTCGATATAAGACGGCGTTTTCCGCTGCAAAACAAACGCTATAACCCTCTTAACATTATGTTGTCTTTGTCTTACAAATGTACAACTACATAGCCAAAAAACTGTTTTGAGCGGGAAAAACCATTCTGTCGGTAGTCCTAGGAGAGACACTTTATGTCATAATATTCCATATTATTATGTGATTGAAGTGAAATAAAGAGAGATACCGAAACTGTACACAATACATAGAAGATAATATTTTCTGTGTCGTAGCGTTTTTATTTGCTTGATATCATTAATAATTATAAAAAAGTTATAATACTTTTAAAAATTTGATATTTTTATGTTTTCCAAACTTGAATAACATTTGATGTATTGATGATTGGTCTTATCGAAAAAATAAAAATGCTACTACACAGTTAAAATCCACCTCTATTCATGGTGAAAATTTGGTTTCTTATATTTTTATAGTTACAATTGTAGACTTCTCGGTTCTTTTTACGCGTCTCATGCACACTTCATTCGCGCGTAGGACTGAGTTGCCCGATTGCGGCCTGAATACAGGTAGTCGTATTTTATCCCAAATTTAAGTATCCTGATTGCGGCCCATCCAAACACACATTGGTTCACAAAATACTAAAATAACTTATAATTAATAATCGGATGCAAATGATGCAATCGGGGTATTTATTTAGTTTTAATAACCACTGTAATGGTAGTTTCCTACCTAATGTGTACGGGCCGCAATTGGGATAGGTGAAAAGGTAAAAAGGTTACTTTGGGCCGCAATTGGGAGACACCCGCGTAGGGACTAAGGATACGTTGGTATAATTCCTGGCTGCAATACGATTGCGCGCGGTCCTTATCAGCGGTACCTTTTTAGGCGTACGATTGCGCGTGCTAAATTATTTTTACTTCTAAGCAACGTTGCCAAATACACAGATTATAGGTGCACGGTAAATATGAAATATTACACATTGATTTTGAAATTGGTGCTATTGAAGCAACAAAAGAAGTTTTTCCGTATGTCAAAATTAAAACTTGCCGTTTTCACTTGGGACAAGCTTGGTGGCGCAAAGTAAGTTGAATCAATATGAATATTTTTTGAAATAATTAATCAAAATCAATTTTCAGATTAATATTATTTTATTATAACGATTTTTAAAGAATATAAAGAATCTGTTTTATTTTGTGTTATGGATTTAACGAGATATAATTTAACCAAATTATTATTTGTATATAATGTGATTTTGTATCGAAATTGATGATTTTCAATCGTGTACCAATTATTGTTTTTTTTTTTTTGAATTTGTTGACCTAAAAAATTGAATTTAGAAGATATCACTGGGCTAGTCAAAAATTTGTTTTTTTTTTATAATAATTATTATTTTATATTTAAATAATAATTTGGCAACGTCGCATCCAATTTCACGCACAATCGTACGCTTTTGAATAGGCAAAAGCATGATTATTTGTTATTCCGGCACCGCGCGCAATCGTATGCCCAAAAAGGTAAAACGCGCGCAATCGTACTCCACCGTAATTTCTGGTAGGTATAAACTTCTCTATAATTTTTCAAGCAACAGTCCCCGACCTGACTCCGTGTGGCCGTGTTGTTCACCTGTTGCCATCAAAATATTCGGCAAACATCGTCTTCCCATGGGGGAGGCCTTCAAAACATTGAATGTCAAACAATTGAATGTCAAAATATTGAACGATAAAATCTTGAACATAAATATTTATGTCAACATCTTGAACATTCAAAAACTTGAACATCAAAACCTTGAACAAAAAAATAGTTTTCGTCAAACCTTTGAACGTCAAAACCTTGAACAAAAAAATAGTTTTCGTCAAACCTTTGAACGTCAAAATCTTGAACAAATAAATAGTTTCCGTCAAAACTTTGAACTTTTTATTTTGTTATTATTAAGATTATCAGCGATTGTTGGAAGGTATAAATACCTTAATACATTTAGTTTTTAACCTGTGACTTACATGAGGTGGGTTTACACAGCAAGTCGGGGGATATTTTCGATTAGCGGAGCGCAGCGACGGCGCCGAGGAGCGTAGCGACGAGTGCCGCTAGCATAGCATCACTGACACACTTCATTAAAGAATTGATATTTTAGATTGCATGTCTGAGCATTTCCCTCCTACAGTGAATTATTAATTATTGCTAGTTTTTAAAACAGTTTTTTTATAATTTTTATTGTAGTCGAGATAAATGATAAGTACCGCCGAGGGATATTGTGATGTCGAGTTGTTTTTTAATTTTTTTTAACAATTTTGATTTCAATTTTTTGAATTTTTAAACAGCAAGTACGATAATTAGAATCTTTATGCATACTTCCATCGATCATAAAAACATACAATTAAAAAAAAATCAAAATGTAGTTTTTTAATGTTTTTATCGTAGATATCACGTATTTTTGAAAAAATTACTATTTTATAGTTTTTTTGGTATAACTTCCAAAATAATGATTTGCAAGAATTTTCGAATTAGACTTTTTTGTTCAAAATTTTGAAATTCAAGGTTGTAACGTTCAAGGTTTTGAATGTTCAAGATATTGACATAAATTTATGTTCAAGATTTTGAGGTTCAACTATTATTTGACATTCAACCGTATAAATGGCGTCCCCCATGAGCTCATATTTTAACATGACAACATTTAGTAGTAGGCATGAAATCTGAATATTCGAATTATTCGGACTTAACGAATTCGGATCAACTGGATCTATGGATTTGGGTTTTTGATTTGTTCTAGGGCAAGTCAACACTAATGGTCATCTATATATATAAGAATCTAACTTGATTTTGGAGACGAAGGAAACCGATTTTGAACCCTCATTATAATAATAATAATAATAATTAACTAATTACCAATTATTTTCATATATTCACCGATAGCGATGTCTGTTTTTTTTAATTTTATAATCGTTGTATTATTTGTATAGCCAAAAAATAGTCTTATGTTTTTAAATTAAATTATAAAATAATAATTTCTTCCGGAGGAAGGTCGGGCAGCTAGTCAATTATATAATGAGTTAGTACCTAATGAGATATATTTAAATAATCGTGGAAAAAAAGCCCAGAAAAAAAATTAAATATAACTGTGAATACAGAATAACACATGTTTACTCTTCTCCTAATTAGTAATTACAGTGTGGAGTGTACCTTGTTGTATAACAAAATATAATATATTATAATGATTAATGAAAATAATGTCATAAATTATTATTATGTGTGATTTTTGTATGAGTGTAGATTTATGTAGGTATATGCGGTATATACCTAAGATGCTATGCTTATACCCCTGATGTTTTTTGACTTATAACTTATAAAGTTATAACACTGCATAATATTATGTATAGATATTAGATGAGTTCATATTTATATTTAATTGTTTTTACTATTACAAGTTGTTTTTTATACATAATTAATAGTTAAGCATAAGAGTAATGTTCACGTGTATAATAATTTATGAATTATTAATTACTAATTAGGAGTAGAGTAGGTATAGGTACATGTGTTCACATATTTTAACTTTTTTTCTTGGATTTTTTTGTGGTGTGTTTATTTTTTTGTACTTTTTTCCGTGGACTTTTTTCCGCCTACCATATTAAAAAAATTCAGTAGAACTTCAATTTTTTAGAATACCTATAAAAATGGGCCATTGAACGGTACAATTTAGTTGGATATCTGAATATTATTCAGCACAGGTGAAAACCAGAAATAGAAAATCCGGATTTTTA